GTTGTCTCATTATTGTCATTCTCTTGAATGAAATTATTGATTTGTTGTTTGACCCCAATCATTTTTTAGGATTAGATTATTTAGTTTCCAATTATTTTTTAGTCTATCTTTCCATGGCCCTTTATTACATATAATTTTTATTGCATCATGATCTGAAAAGGATGCATTTAATATTTCTGCCTTTCTGTACTGGATTATGAGGTTTTTATGCCCTAGTACATGGTCAATTTTTGTGTATGTGCCATGTACTGCAGAAAAAAGTATATTCCTTTCTATCCCCATTCAGTTTTCTCCAGAGGTCTATCATACCTAACTTTTCTAATGTTCTATTCACCTCCTTAACTTCTTTCTTGTTTATTTTGTGGTTAGACTTATCTAGTGCAGAGGGGGAGGTTCAGGTCCCCACTAGTATAGTTTTGCTGTCTATTTCTTCCTGTAACTCCCTGAACTTCTCCTGTAAGAATTTGGATGCTATACCATTTGGTGCATATATGTTTAGTAATGATATTACTTCATTGTCTATGGTGCCTTTTAGCAGGATGTAGTTTCCTTCCTTATCTCTTTTGATTAGATCTATTTTTGCTTTTGCTTTGTCTGAGATCAGGATTGCTACCCCTGCTTTTTTTACTTCAGCTGACGCATAATATATTCTGCTCCAGCCTTTTACCTTTACCCTGTATGTGTCACTCTTTTTCAAATGTGTTTCCTGTAAACAACATATTGTAGGATTATGGTTTTTAATCCATTCTGCAATCCGTTTCCGTTTTATGGGAGAGTTCATCCCATTCACATTCACAGTTATGATTACTATCTGTGTCTTTTTCTCCATCCTTTCCCCCCTTTATGCTTTTCTTTCTCCTTTTTCCTTTCCCCCTTCACTAGTGTTTTGCTTTTGACCACCCTCCTTCAGTCCCTTCCCTTTTATTATCCCTTTCCCTTTTCTTCCCCTTTAGTCTTACTGCTGCTTCCCTCCCTTCTTTCCCCCCCTTTTCTTTCCCCCTCCCTTTTCTTTCCCCTTTTCCCTCCTACTGCCTATAGGGCAAGTTAGATTTCTATATCTTACTGATTATATTATGCCCTTCTTGAGCCAAATCTGATGAGAGTAAGGTTCAAACAATGCTCCCCCCCTTTCCCTCTGCTGTAATAGGATTTTGTGTCTTTTCCTGTAATGTAATTTACCCTTGTCTGCCTCCTCCTTTCTCAGTACATTTTCTAAGATCAGATTGATCCACTTATTTGGATCCATTTAACCCACTTGATTAGATTTTTTTTTATCATTACATCAAAGTCAACTAATATCCACCCTCTTTATGTATACTCCTTTAACAAGGTGTAATAACAATACAGTTCTCAAGGGTTGCAAGTCTCATATTCCCTTGTAGGGGTTTAAACAGCCCCCCCTTATTAACAACATATTGTATCTTCTGTCCCATTTACCTTTTTAAGTCCTTCTTGAGTCCTGTACTTGAAGATCAAATTTTTTGTTGAGCTCTGGTCTTTTTATCAGGAAAGTTTGGAAGTCTCCTATTTCATTGAATATCCACCTCCTCCCTTGAAAAATGATGCTCATTTTTGCTGGGTAATTGATCCTTGGCTGCATTCCAAGCTCCTTTGCCTTATGGAATATCATGTTCCATGCCCTGCGGTCTTTTAATGTAGAAGCTGCAAGGTCCTGTGTAATCCTGACTGTGGTTCCATGATATTTAAATTGTTTCTTTCTGGCTGCTTGCAGCACCTTCTCTTTCATCTGGTAATTTTGGAATTTTGCTATTATATTCCTTGGTGTTGTCAATTTGGGATCTCTTTCAGGTGGTGATCGGTGGATTCTTTCTATGGTTATTTTCCCTTCTGGTTCTAGGACTTCTGGGCAGTTTTCCTTTATGATTTCCTGAAAGATACTGTCCAGGCTCTTTTTTTCATCATGATTTTCAGGTAGTCCAATAATTTTTAAATTGTCTCTCCTGAGTCGATTTTCCAGGTCGGTTGTTTTACTGATGAGGTATTTTACATTTTCATCTATTTTTTCATTTTTTTGTTTCTGTTTGACTGATTCTTGCTCTCTCATAGAGACATTAGTTTCCATTTGTCCAATTCTAGTTTTTAACAGATTGTTTTCTTCTGTTAGTTTTTGTACTTCCTTCTTCAATTGGCCAATTGTGTTTTTTAGGGACTTGTTTTCTTCAGTGTATTTTTTTTCCAATTGGCCAATTGTATTTTTGAAGGACTCTTTACCTCTCTTCATTTGACTATTAAAATCCTTCTTGAGCTCTTCTAAGAAGGCTTTTTGGGCTTCAGACCAGTTCATATTCCCTTTTGTTGTTGCATGATGGGTTTGTTGACAATGTTGTCCTCTTCGGAATTTCTGTCTTGATCTTCACTCTTCTCATAATATGAATCTATGGTACGTTTCTTTTTACTCATGGTGTTTCTTTATTCCCTGGCCTTTAAAGAGATTGAGCTCTCCTGCTGGGGAACAGAGGGTACTGACCCAAGCTTCTTGTGTTGGGAGCCTAGGTCTTGGTCACTGGTTTTGCGTGCTGGGGCCTCTTATGCTGGGAATTGGAGGCTGTAGGTTTCTGGCAGCTTACCTCATGTTGGGCTGGAATCAGCAAGGCTGGAACTTTCAGGCAATTCTAGGTTGCCTGCTTTTCCTTTCCTTTAGCTTTCTTCAGCTCCTTTTAGATGGCTGCTGCAGGATGTTTATCTGCCTGGGGCCCTCTGCAGTGTTGTCTCCCTCGTTTCTGCTAATGCACCGGGAGATTCCTTTATGGTGGAGTGCCGAGACTTCTGGTGGTTTTCTGAGCTGGTTTCCACCGGTTCCCCCCCCCCCTCACGGAGGCACTCAGAGGTCCAGGTGTTGGTGTTTGCCTGCTCTACCACCTGGGCTTCAGGATTTCTTCACAATTGGAGGCTTCAGGGCTCCTACAGCTCACCTGGTGTTGGGTTGGAATCAGCAAGGCCCAGGCTTTAGGAAGCCTTTAGGCTGTTTTCTTCACCTCCTTTCAGATGAATGCCACAGGGTACTTATCAGCCTGGGGCCCCTTGTAGTTCTGCCTTCCTTATTTTTGCTGAGGCACTGGGAGACCGGTTTTCTGGGCTACTGCACTGCTGCTCCTTGTCTTTCTTCTAGTTCAGGTGTTCAGGTTTTTTTTTTTTCTGGGGTGATATTTTCTGGGTTTTCAGAAGTTGATAGGGGAGAGTGAGAGTGACTACCTTTTCGCTCCGCCATCTTGGCTCAGGATGGAAGCTTCTTGAAGACATAGACTGACATAGAATCTCCAATTCAGAGAGACTCGTTGAGAGGATGTTGTGGTGGAGAGAACCCCAGCTCTGACATCACAGGACCAGGGTTCAAATCCTGTCTCTGATGCCATCTTCCTCTGGCTACCAAAAGGCTTGGATGACATGGCCTCTGAGATCTCTTCCAGCTCTAAATCTGGGATCTATAAGTCTGAGGTGACAAACGGAGTGTGAGTCTTAGTCAAGGAGGTCATGTGGCAGATTAGAAAACTCTTGGAGAGCCTGGGTTCAAATCCCACCTTTAACATTGCATATCTGCATGGCCTTGGGCAGCCAGTCCTTCTCTCCCAGATCTCCACAATCTTGATAGCCCTGAGGACATCACGACAGAGGGACAGACAGGTGCTTTGAGTGCCCATTCAGAGAGTCTAAGGGAGAGGGAGCAAGAAACCTCTTCTGTTCTGTATCCAAGGTCCTCCTTGGTCCTAGCTGTCAGCCTGCTTACGGCCATCATGCTCTTCTCCAATGTTCTCTATGCCATACCCACATCCAGTCCTTCAAAGACTGTTGTGCTCCATGACTGACAGCCATATGTCAATACTGGTCCAATATCACAGAATGTCCTCTGAAGTGAGTTGCAGGATGGCCTTGTGGAAAGAGAACCAGCCTCAGAGCCAGGAGGCTCTGAGTCTGTGTCCTTCCTCTGACACATACTGGCTGTGTTACCCCAGACGGGTCATTTAACAGAGAAGGTGCCAACCTGTATTGGTAGAGGGAGTTTCCTCACCTGGGAGGTCTCTGTAACAACAAAATCACCGATCCAACTTCTGTCCTTCTGTAATATGGAGATAATAATCCTCTAGTAGCTCTCTGTACTGTGGGGCTCAAATGAGGTAATGTCTGTAAAGTGCTTTGGAAACCTTGAAATGCTATGTCAATGCCAAGTGTCATCATTAACTGATGCTTCCTTTGTTGCTTTCCGCTGCCACCCTAAACTCTAGCACACCCACCCTGTCCAGAGACAACTGGCCCTGGCTCCTTACCCTCCTCCAATCTTCTCCCCCTCCCCTAGTGACTATTCCATGAAACAGGCAGGAATGCATTAGCTGGAATGATTCTGAAGAGTCCACACATCATTACATTCACCCATCACATTTCATTATGACTCAGATAAAAATCTGGGGCTTTGGCAGGAATGGGTAATCCTGATGTGCTCACTCATTTAGTCTCCCAAGGCATGTCCAAAGGCCTCAGTGAGACTGGAGAGTGAGGGCAAAGGCCTGGGAAGGTCTGATGGCCTGAAGTACTGGGATATAGAGAACAGTAGCAGGCAGAGGGTGGGAGCTGGGTTGCCCTGGGAGGGTGTGGGAGAATTTTAAGGGTGTTCTGGAGGCCTGAGACTACAGAGACCCAAACAGTTGTTTGATAAATGAATGAATGAATGAAGTAGCACTTAATAAGAGCTTACTATATGATAGATACTATGCTAAGCGTTAGGTACATACAAACAAAAAACAAGATGGCTCCTGTCCTCAGGTAGCTTACTTTTTAACAAAGAAAGACAACATAGGTTGTGGGGGTGGGGGTGGCCAGCAATGGGCACTTTGTTCTGAGAAATCACAGGGATGGTGAATAGAGCCATCAGACAAATGATAGAGAGGTCACTTTGGTAGTGGGGTCAGGAAACTAGAGGCCACAGGCATGGAAAGAGCTGGCTTCCTCTGGGTCATCTCACTTCTCTCCTACCCTTCTGGCTCTAGGGCAAAGAGATGTTCCAAAGCCGTTATGTCCAACCCAACCTTCTGTGTTAATTGGAGGTGCCATCTCCTGCCTCCATGAATTCACACCCACAGTTCCTTGTGCACTCTCTTTACATCTCTGAATTTCAGAATCCTTCTCTTCCTCCAAGGCTGAGCCCAGGTCAGTAGATAACCTACAAATTGTTATCATTCTATCCCTCTTCCAAAATTCCTCGAGCTGTTTGCCAAAATCCCAGACTTCCTTCAAGGCCCAGCTCAAGTACTACAGCCCGAGGAAGTGTGTACTGGTGGAGAGGCAATCCCAGATTCCAGGAAATGCTAGTATGATCAAACTGAATTCTTGTACACAGTTTCCTATGGTATACGGAGTTTTTGGTTTTGTTTTTGCCCAGATCTGTAGCAGTAAGGTACAATGGAAAGAGCTCTGGTCCTAGAGGTAGAGGGGCTGGGTTTGAATTTTGCCATTTAGGGTTATTACTACTTGTGTGACCTGGAGCAAATCAATATCCTTTCGAGGATCAAAGTTTCCTCTGTAAAAGAAGGGGGCTGGATCACATGACCTCTGAGGCCCCTTCTAAATTTATGTTTCTGTGATTGGGGTCCTATAGTTTGATTGATTTAAGGGACACCCCTTGAGGAAGCTCCCTTTGCCAATACAGATTGGCCCTTTCTTGGCAGCTTGTCATCTTTGACAATTATTTGAGAGCAATGAAAAGTTAAGTGACTTGCCTAAGGTCACGCAGCCAGTGTAGGGGGCTAGCTGAGGTGGTCACCTTTTCAGCTGCTCCACAGTGCCCATCCATGCAGCCCACATGGACCAGGTCCAGGTCCCTTTCCGGCTCTGATGTTGCCTTCTGGTTCCAGATGTTCACACCTAACACATGCAGGTATGTTGTGGGTATAAAGATGGGCATGCATGTGCCTTCAATTCCACGAACCTCAATGAAGCACTCACTGTATTCAGAAGCCTGTGCCGGTGACCAGTGACCCTGCCTTCAGAGGGTCCATAGTCTAATAAAAGGATAAGACATGCCAGGCAGAAGGGGCTCTGGGGATTCAAAGGAGGGAGTGATCATTGAGGGAGGGGCAGGATGAAGAAAAAGCTTCCCAGAGGAGGTGATGTTTGAGCCGGGCTCTGAAGGAGGGCTAGGATTTTAATAAGCAAAGGAAGGGGAGGAAAGGGTGTTTATTCCCCTCAGAAGGGGCATCATGAGTAAAGGCAGTTAAAAATAGACTGTGTTGTGTATAAGGAGTAGATTGTTGACTGAGAAGGGTCTTTGGAGAATAGATCTTAGAATGTATAGTGTCAGAGCTGAGCAGAATCTAAGAATGCCACATCTTGGGTGGAAGGGGCCTTAGAACATAGAATGTGGAATGTCAGCTAAGTTCTTCCCTCTTCACCTAGATCAGCTCCTGACTTTCTGGATTTCTTTCACTACCATATTCTAGCAGCCTTCTTACCCTGGAAGGTGAGTCTCCCCTGCAGCCCTTTCCTCTGATTGGTCAGTTCTTCCTGGACCCTCCATTCTAAGGAAGCCCCCAGGCCAGTTGTGTTCACTCTGCTCCAGAATATCCGGACTTCTTTCTTCACCATCCTTCACTTCCTCCTACCCCCCCCCCAGTTTCCTTTTATATGTTGTCTTCCCTCATTAGAATGTAAGCTCCTTAAAGGCAGGGACTGTCTTTTCTTCTTACTTGTATCTGTAATCCCAATGTTTAGCACAGTGCCTAGAACACAGTAAGTGCTTAAAAGCTTCTTGACTCAATTTGGAAAGGACTTTAGAAAACAGAACGAGGAATGTCAGGTCTGGGAAATACACTAGAACATAGAATATTAGAGACAAATGCGGTCTTAGAATAAAGAATATAACACATCAGAGTTAGAAAGGCCCTATCAGAGCTGGAAGATATTTGAGGGATTATCTGGTCTAATTCTTTCATTTTACAGATGGGGAAACTGAGGTTTAGAGATGAAAGGTGTCTCAGCCAGGGCCATGCAGCTGGTCAGTGCCAGAACTGGGAGTCAAATGTAGGTGTCCTTATTCCTTATCCCAATGTTCTTTTCATCTACCTCAATATCCTCGTCTATAAAGGTTGGCCTTGATGACTCCTAAGTTCCCTTCCAGCTCTGGTTCTATGATCTTATGACCATCATGTAGTTGGTTGGGGTCAGGTTGAGGAGGGGCCAAGAAAAGGGATCTGGGTTTTATTTCAAACATATTTTCACATTTATGTACACATACACACATATAGGTTCACATGGAAAACATTTAGACACATGCTTTTACAATTTTCCTCCTCCCTACCCCCAACTCCATGTCCTTATGTCATCTGTGATCTCAGAAGCCCCATGTCTCTGGTTCCACTATCATTTCCTCCAATCCTGGACATTCTTCTCATCCCCACTGTGTTGGGAGCTCCTGCGTCAGGACTGTCATCTATGTTGCTGGGAGGTGGATATGTTCTCCTGTTCTTGTGACACCTTCTTGGAGGGGAAAAAAAAGCAATTGGAGTGTTGTAGGACAAACCCCAAAGCCTGGTTGGAGCCCTGGTTCAGATACTTACTAGCTATATGTAAATGAAAAGCCGCTTACACTCTCAGATGTGCCCTCATCTGTAAAACTATTTCAAGTCACCTCCCTACCCCCCTCCCTGGGAAATTGTGAGGGAATTGCTTTTTAAATGATGGAAATATTTCTCTCTCATCTCTGTCTTTCTCTCCCTAATTCTATCTCTTTCTAACGATGTGTCTTTCCTTCTATCTTTTTTCTCTTTTCTTCCTTCTTCTTTAGTTCTGTCTCTGTCTCTTTCTATCTCTGTCTCTCTCGATATGTTTCTGTATGTCTATCTCTCTCCCTCTCTCTGTCTCTCTCCTTTATTTCTCCCTTCTTCCCTTCTTCCCTCCCTCTCAATTCCCCTCTTGCACTGTTTATTCTTGAGAATAAAGATTGACATTTTCAATTACCCCAAATATAACAGTGGGGCTCTACCCAGCAAGCCAGGCTACAGAGAGTTTGTGTGGGAAAGGTGGGAGGGGTGTGTGTGTGTGTGTGTGTGTGTGTGTGTGTGTGTGTGTGTGTGTGTGTGTAAGTGTGGAGTGGCCCAATTCCCTCCATCTCTGCTTATTTTTCTTCTTTAAGAGAGGATTTCTTCCTGGGAGATAGTGATGTGAGCACGTTTACCTCTAGGGAAGAAAGGGAGACAAAAGAGAGAAACAAAAATCTGCCCTCCTTTTCTTGTAAACGCAGTGTGCCCTGTAGAGCCAAGCTTGGTAGGAGAAAGGGAGGGAGAGTGAGGTAAGGGGGAGGGGAGAGAGAAGGAAAAGGGGGAGGGGAGAGGGTGAGGGAGGAGAGAGGAGAGACATATATCAAGAGACACAGAAAGGCAGTGAGAGACAGAGAGAGAGACAAAAAGACAGTCAAGGATATAAAGACAGACACAAAGGTAGAGACATAGAGACAAAGGGAGATAGAGAGAGACAAACAGGGAAAGGAAGGGATAAGAAAGATAAGGAAAGAGAAAGAGGAAAAAGGTCAAAAGGATTGGAAAAGAGGAAAGAGAGAAAAAAGAAAGGAAAGAAGAAAGACAAAGAAAGAGGAGGAAAGAGAAGAGAGGGAGAGAGGGATAGAGGAAAGGAGAAATAGGGAAAGGAAGAGGGAAAGTGAAATGAGAAAGAACAGAGTAAGGAGAGAAGAGAAAGAAGAAAAATGGATAAAGAAAAGGGGAGAGAAGGAGAAGACAGGAAAAATGGGGAGAGAGAAGAGAAAGGACAGAGGGAGTTGAGAGATTAGGAACAGACAGAGAGAAAGAAGGGAAAAGAGAGAGAATGAGAAGGGAGAGGTAGTTAGGAAGGAGAGAGGAGACAGACAGACAGAAAGACAGAGGAGACAGAGAGGAGAGAGACACAGAGAGAGAGAGAGAGAGAGAGAGAGAGAGAGAGAGAGAGGAGGCTAAAGCCTGTGTCACCACTGCCTTGGGCCCCCAAATCAGGCATCTCTTGTTATATCTTCATCAGAAAGGAGTCAGAGCCCCATATCCAGGAGGGAGACAATGCAATCAGGTTGCTGAAGGAACCTTCTTGTGTCCATGCTATGAATAGGGAAGGCTGAAGGCGAGGCAGGCCGAGCTCCCCAGGCCTGGAGCCATCTATTCTGGGAGTCCACCAGGAGGCCCATTACAGCTCGGCATGGATCCAAGGGCCAGAGCAACGAAGCTCGAAGGGTAGGGAGGGAGAGAGAGGAACTGAAGCAGGAAAAGAGGGCTTGGTGGTGTGAGAAACCTGCTGGAAGTCTCTTCTCTGGGAGGAGAGTCAGACCCAGGCTGGTCCTGGGATAGGCAGCTACACAGAAAGCAGTTATTTCATGTGCTTTGTCTGTACTGCAGCTTTTCCAGGGCAGGGGTCTAGGCTGCCCCCCTTTAACATTTGCCCCTCAAATTTGTCCCCAGCTTGGGGATCTGCATTCCTACCATGACCTCCTATTTCTTGTCCTATTATCAAACCTTAGAAACAGAATGTTTTAGAATTTCTGAATCATAACGTAGCAGGATCATAGACTTTAAAGGTGGAAGGAGTCTGAGAGATCACCTAATCCATCCCTACCATTTTACAAAGGAGGAAAGGGAAAACCAGAAAGAAGACAGGACTTGTCCAAGGTCATATAGCATGCTAGTTAGGGACAGAGCCAGGATCACATTGGGATTCCTCTGCCTGGGTTTTAAGTTCCTCCAATAACTGTATCCCTTCCCTACCCTTCTACTCTTTGGCTGCCCCCAACCCCACTGACCTCTGCAGGCTCACAACCTATCCCCGTGGGTAATCCACATCCATCATTTCCTTTAAGGCCCAATTCCTCTATGAAGCCCCCAGTGATCTCCCATCTTTCAGCTAGAATAGGGTTTATTTTTTTAAACTAAAAAATCTTTTGGGGCAGCTAGGTGGTACAGTGTATAGAGCACCGGCCCTGGATTGAGGAGGACCTGAGTTCAAATCCGGCCTCAGACACATAACACTTACTAGCTGTGTGACCCTGGGCAAGTCACTTAATCCCATTGCCTAGCCGAAAAAAAATCTTTTATGGATGTGTTTTGTTTTTATATCACCTACCTTTCTCAACATATCCCTCCCCACTCATTCCAGAGAACCAGCCTTTATAA